CCCTGCAAGATTACATCCACAGAGCAGGGAGAGTGGGCCATGTTGGGAGTGAGATGCCAGGCTCAGTCATCAGCTTTGTGACCCATCTGTGGGATGTGAGCCTGGTTCAGAAAACTGAACTAGCAGCTGGACAAAGAGGCATCCTCAGTGAGAGAGCACTGGCCTCTGCAAGACTGATTTTGGCTAACTAACGGGATTCTGGATTAGGGATCTTTCCTGGTGTCCTGGATAGATAAAAACACTTGTCAGCCAGGCTGCCCTTAATGACTCTCAGGGCCTCGGGGCTGCTTATTGCTTTGCAAAATGAGCTACTGGCCAGCATCGGAGAAATGGAGCATTGGACCATAGTAGCATAGTCTTTCACATAAAATGTGAATAATAAAATGCATTTTGATTTTCTGTCATGATTTCTAGCAATAAATGATATTTTATGGGCTGGTTTAACTATAACTATCATTGGGACAAATTTCATTGTATTTGATGATTCACAGTCCAAAGTGCCACATGTAGGACAAAAAATCAGTTGAGTTTCTTTCTTTGCAGTGCTATGGATGGCAAGCTCTCTACCCCTAAGCTACATCTTCACAGCCCTATTGTTTGCTTTTTTCTTTTTTTTTGCAGTACCAAGGTGTGAACTCAGGGGAACTCTACCTCTGAGCTACATCCCAGCCTTCTTCCCTTTTTTCTTACTTATTTGTGGTAATAGAGATTGAACCCAGGGGTGCTATACCACAGGGCTACCCAGGAAACAAGTCTCACTGAATTGCTGAGATTGGCCTCAAACTTCTATTCCTCTTGCCTAAGCCTCCAGAGTTGCTGGGATTATAGGCTTGCATGACCACACATGGTTTGTTGGCCTTTCTTGAAGGGGACTAAAATGATAATGTGGTAATTTTGTAATGTCATTTTGTCATGAACATGTTTCAAATTTGATGTTAAAATGGGCCTGTCATCCCTACTTTATAAAGTTATTAGAGATGCTCATTTTGCCTTGGAGCACATTTAACAGCCTTTCCATTGTCCACCACCTTGAAATGTGCCACGATCGGCCTCTCAGCTATAATTCTGGAGTGGCAACATAAATAACCTGAAACCCTCTAATTGAGAACAACACCTCTACACTACCTATGGGGCCTTTGGTAGGCTCCTTCACATCTGTTTGAGACCTCCCTTATAAAACGTAAAGGTGCAAAGAATTTTATTTTTCATTTTGTTTCTGGTGCCCATATCAAACCCAAGGCCTCAAACATGCTAGGCAAACACTCTACCAAGAAAGACTCTACCATTGAGTACACACCCCCAACCTCTTAAAACATTAATCTTTGGAGCATAATGAGGTGAAATGGAACCTGCCTTTGCTTTTTTCCCAATTGAAATGTTTTTCCACATGTGCCTATTTTTTTTTGGGGGGGGGCGGGTACTGGACTTTGAACTCAGGGGCAATCCACTACTTATCAACATCCAAAGTTCTTTTTTTCTTTTTATTTAGTGGCAGGGTCTCATTGAGTTCTTCGGGCCTCACTAAGTTACTGAAGATGGCTTTGACCTCGAAAATGTACTTAGACTCACGAGCCACTGGAATTACAGACATGGAACACCACACACACAGCCCAAATTTTAAATTTACCTTCAGGCCCACTTCCAAGAATCACTCCTTAACCTCCTAATACACTCAAATCTCTGCCTCTCCAATAGATAAATGCATTAGGGCCATGAAACCTAGCTGTCATTATGTTTAACAGTGACTGTCAGGCCAGTTTCAGAATTTGGTTTTCTCTTGCCCTGCTGTGGTCATAGGCTATACCTAACCCCCAGCTGTGCTACACAGAAGAGTGGCTATTCCACTAGGATATGGGTAGACAGGCAAAAGGGAGGTTAGAGTTCTCTCCTTTTACCATGCTTTCCATAAAATACCAAGGATCTGAAGGCTACCCCTCAGGTTAAACATGACTTCACTGAGTAATGATGACATCACAAGCCTCAGTTTCCATGGCAGGTTAACGCTAGGAATCTTCTCTACCAGTTCCCTAAAGACACCAGAGTGTCCGGTTGCTTCAGAGAATATGTCTGACCGGATATTCTATATTCAGTCTAACTTTTCCTCCTGGGAGAGCAGTGCAGCAGGTAGGCCTAGGCCAGGTATCTGTAATGGAGCCCTTAGTAAACACACAATCTCACTGGACTGCCACACATTACTTTTGGGTTTCCCCATCACACCTCAGAACTTCCCTAGCTACGAGTAAGACCAAAGGTCTGGTTCTCCTACAAGGACCCACAGTGTTTCTGTTCAATGCTGAGGGCAAGTGTTCAGAAAGGTGCTAATCTTTTTCAATCTAGCCTTCCCCTTTAGCTTCCCCCAATGCTTCCTTCAGAGCACAGCACACTGGTACACACCTATAGTCCCAGCTGCTTAGGTGGCTGAGTGGAAAGATCACCTGAGCCCAGGAATTGGGCTCAAGCATCTGGGCGGGAAACAATGAAACCTGGGCAACAGAGTGAGAGCACTTATCACCAAAACAGAAAGGAGATTTCATTCTCAGATCCTTAATAAGAGTCTTACAGAAGCCCAGTGTGCTTTTGTTATCCAGGGAAAATTGGAGCACAGACCCGGCACCTTTACCATACTGTCATGGATACACTCACATGGATCCCCTCACACACATCCCAGTCTGAAATGCTGAGAAAAAGGGTGTTCTCACGCAGTTGGGAAGAACAGAGGGCCAGGGGGAGAGGTGAAGTGTTACAGAGACTGGAGTTCTGAGGAAATAATGTCTCAGGAAGTGGATGTGAGAAGGCTATTAAACCTAAGTTTGGTACCCAGAATTTGCATCTCAATCTCTTAATCCCTCTTCCCTAGTATATGGCCTTGAGAAAGTGGTGGAGTGGTGCCCAACTATTGTTTCAGCTACCCAGGAGGCTGAAGCAGGAGGATCACATTAGCTCAAGAGTTCAGGGCCAGTCTGGGGAAACACCATCTCAAAATACCATGTCAAAAAAAAAAGAAAAGAAAAAGAAAAAAAGGCATCATAAAAATCTATAAAAACTAGCCTAGAATTCAGTGTGTCGAAACAGACTGTAACAATGTGTCCAGGAGGAGCTGCCAAGTAGGAAGAGTTCTAAACAAATTTATATTATAATATTTTTTAAACCTTGAAAATTATTTCTATTAAAGCCTCAGAAAAGATAGATGTTAAGAAATTTCTCTCAGTTGTAGAAGGGAGAGACTGAGGGAGGGCTGTTTGAGATAATTTTGAGGTTTGACTGTTCTGTTGCTTCCACTGGCTCCACAGAACTCAAGTACTTTGACAGGCACAGCATCCATAGAGGTCACAGGCAAAGGCTGTGTTTGGGATGCCAAGCAGAGAAGAGGGCTTCAGTCAGAAACAGGAAGCAACAGGAGAGCGAGGTCCTGGGGGCAGAGTGTATAAAGCAGAAGCAATTAATCAGTTCTGGTTTTCTTTCCAGCAGCAGTGCCTCCCATGTCTCCTTCTATACCTGCATACTACCATGTCCTCTACCAAGGATGTGGAGAAAAGCAGGTGGGCTGGCATGAGTGGCTACCTGCCCTATGGAGATGCTGCCTTGGCTACTCCACCAAAGGCCAAAGAAGAGAAGCCATCAGAGAAGCCAGCCCAGAAACCAAACAAGAGAGGCAGAGGGGCTCCCAAGAAACGATGAGCTCCAGCAGAAGCAGAAAAGACCCTGGGTTGCCCTAGGCCCAAATTTCGTGCCAAGAAACCACTGTCACAGAAGCTGGCTGGCTGAGCTGCTCAGTAGAGAGGACATTTATTTACCTAGGACATCTAAGGAATCATCTTTGTTTTTAATTCTAATTCCTGTATTTTTTTAAAGAAATAAAAAATTTGGGACTGAAGTTGTGGCTCAGTAGTAGAGCACTCGCCTAGCATGCACAAGGCACTGGGTTCGATCCTCAGCACCATATAAATGTAAAATAAGATATTGTGTCTACCGAAAACTTAAGAATAAATATTTTTAAAAAATTTTACTGTTGCTGTTGTGTTAATCATAAAGTTATTCAAATACACAAAAATTTGAGAGAGAAGCTCTGCAGATGGTTGCAAATGATTTACAATGTTGTCACAGAGAGGGCCTCGGTCTAACTTGCCATGAGGAACTACTGCAGCTTATGCTGGTATCTTCAGAGTTTGGCAGAGATTGCAACTGTATTTAAAAGCCATCCTTGGGCTGGGGCTGTAGCTCAGTGGTAGAGCACTTGACTAGCAGGGATGAGGCATTGCGTTTGATCCTCAGCACCATATAAAAAAGAAAAGTTATAAAAAAAGTATATAAAAAAAGCCATCTTTATACTCCTTCTCACTGGCTACCACTCTTCTTTGTAAACATACTCTTCCCAAGACATTTCTAAGGACATTATCAAAACCATTTTCCTTCCCTTTTCTTTTGTCCACCTGCAGTATACTGGAAATTAATAACAGGTTGCTCTACCTTTGACCAAGATACCCAGTACTTTCTATTTTTTATTTGGAGACAGGGTCTCAGAAATTGCTCAGGCTGGCCTCAAACTTCCAAGTGGAAGGCCTCAGCTTTCCATGGAGCTGGAATTATTGGCATGTGCCATCATACCTCACTCTCTTTACAATTTTCTTATTATTCAATTTCTTTAGTTGTCAATGGATCTTTATTTCACTTGTTTTTATGCAGTGCTGAGAATCGAACCCAGTGCCCCACACATGTAAGCACTCTAACACTGAGCCACAACCCAGCTCACTCTTTACAATTTTCTACATTTCCTGTCATCTAGATAATGCAAAGAATTACTTTAATAATCACTGTGTTGGGATAGAGTAGTAGAGAAGAGAATCTTTAAAAATCTGAAGGAGAAAAACAAATCCAATAAATATATTATACACAACACATACTAATGAGTGCTCACAGGATGTGCTCAGAAGGTTTCAGTTGTTACACTTTAATTTCATATGTAAAGGCGACAGATTCAATCGGAGAGAACATTAACTCACCACAGATTGCCAGGCACAGTGGTGCATACCTATACTCCAGTAGCTCAGGAGGGAAAGCCAGGAGGAACACACGTTCAAAGATGGCCTCAGCGACTTGGTGAGATTCTGTCTCAAAATAAAAAATAGAAAGGTCTGAGGTAGATCTCATGGTTAAATGTCCCTTAGTTTCAATCCCTGGTACTAGGGAAAAAAACACTATTTTTGAGAATTGGGAGAGTGGAGGAGCCAATACCTCTCTGCATTTGAGATACAAACGTTAGAGCGCTCAGGATACAAACTTTAGAGGCCTCAAGGAAGCCTGGGCACTCACCAAGCTCTATTTGTCCTTCACTTCACTCACAATCCAGCCCTTCCTTATGGGATCACAGGGTCAAAAATTCAAGCTCACTCCCCTGCCACAGCAATTTTCCACAATGGAATTTCCTTCTTTTCTTTCTTTTTCCTTTTTTTCAATAGATAATACATTCAAAATAAAAGAGGTTCAAAAGATATTTTTTAAAAATTTTACTGTTTTTTCCAATTAGAGAAGAGACTTTTTTTTAATATTTATTTTTTAGTTGTAGTTGGGCACAATATCTTTATTTTTATTTATTTATTTTTATGTGGTACTGAGGATCGAACCCAGGGCTTCACACATGCTAGGTGATTGCTCTACCTCTGAGCTACCAGCCCGAGACTTTCAATCTCCACTTTTCTTTTCTTTTTTTTTTTTTTTTTTAGTACTGGGGTCCTTTATTATACCCTTAGTTCTTCTGCAGACAGGATCTACCCAAGTTGCTGAGGTGGGCCTCAAACTTGAGATCCTCCTGCTATAGCTTCTGGAGTCACTGGAATTATAGGTGTGTACCACTAGGTCCACCTAAATCTATACTTTTTTAAAATATTTTTTTAGTTGTAGTTGGACACATTACCTTTATTTATTTATTTATTTATTTAAATGTTTATTTTTTAGATGTAGTTTGACACAATACCTTTATTTTATTTATTTATTTTTAATTTTTTTATATTTATTTTTTAGTTGTAGTTGGACACAACACCTTTATTTCACTTGTTTATTTTTTCATGTGGTGCTGAGGATCGAACTCAGGGTCTCGCACGTCCTGTAAGGCAGAGGCTAGCGTTCTACCACTGAGCCAAAACCCCAGCCCCTATTTTATTTATTTTTATGTGGTGCTAAGGATCGAACTAGGGCCTTGCCTGTGTTAGGTAAACGCTCTACCACTGAGCCACAACCCCAGCCCCTATTTATTTTATGTAGTGCTAAGGATTGAAACCAGAGCCTCACACATGCTAGGCGAGCACTCTACCACTGACCAAAACCCCAGCCCTAAATTTATACTTTTTATGCAGCTTCCTTTTTGAACCACAAGAAAAAAGCAGATAGTTAGCCAGCATGTGCCACTACAGCATACTACTTGGTATCTGTTCTGACTGGCTAGTACCAGTTACTAATTATTTTAAGTAGCACCTCTGGAGTGTAAATTTGCTACCCGCATAAGATGAAATAAAACTCAACTTTCCTTCCCCAGAGGAAGCCAATGTCCTTATATTCTTCTTTGACTTTCCAAATATACTGTGTCAGTAGGGCCCTCTGGTTTTTTTAAGCAGGCAGGCAGACATTCTGAAGCCTCCTTACCTAAAGCATTGGTGTCAGGATAGGTGACTCCTCAGAGCACAGTAGCTGACTTTGGACAGTGGGCCAGGAGGACATCTACTAAGTCTACACTGTCGACCTTCTGCTCACCCTACAACAAGGTTCCCAGTGACATCACCACAGGAGTCCCTCTGATGCCTTACACTCAGCAACCACAACCTGCTTTTATTATCTGCTCCAAATCTGTCCTTTCTTCAGCTCCTGATCACAGATAAAGAACAAGAATCCCAGGGGGCTGGGGTTGTGGCTCAGCAGTAGAGCACTGGCCTCGCATGTGCGAGACCCTGGGTTCGATCCTCAGCACCACATAAAAATAAATAAGTGAAATAAAGGTATTATGTGCAATTACAACTAAAAATAAATATTAAAAAAAAAAAAAAACAAGAATCCTGTTTCCTGGCTGCCAGTCTACCCTCCCTAAACCCCAACCACTTATCCCACTATCCCACACCCAACAATTTGCTAGCCAAGTCTAAGTAACCGGACCTCTAGTCTTTTGCCATTCTAATCCTCCAGATACATGGCTTCCCTATAAAAAAAAAAAAAAAAAAAAAAAAGGCCAAAGATACCCGAAGTCCAAGTCCAGCTGATCTGATCCCAATTAAAGTTTGCGATCCTATGCTCTTTTGCTTCCTCTTCATTTCCCATTCCCCAGTCCTCTGATGAAAATGAGCCATTCACAGTTCTTTTTGTCTTCACTACCTGGGGGCCTCCATGTTCCTGCACATGGAAATCTTCTCATGCTGTCCTGTATCTCTTCCTCAAGGACCACATTTCCTCATCAGAAACAAGTTTAAGGGCACCCTTCCACTCTGTTCTTAGGCTTACCATAGCCTTCTGATCTGATCTCTTGTATAAATGTCATGTCTGTCTCAGTATTATTCATGACAAGACAAAGCCCTGTTCATATTATTTTTTTCTTTGCTTTTTTTTTTCCTTAAACAGTACCTGAGGTTGACCCTGGGGCCTTGTACATGCTAGGCAAATACTTTACCACTGAGCTGCATCCCCAGTTCTTTTATTGTTTTATTTTGAGACAGGGTCCTCCTAAGTTGCCTGGGATGGCTTCATATTTGCAATCCTCCTGCCTCAGCCTCCAAATAACTGGGATTACAGGCATGGACCACCATGCCTGGCCCTGATCCAGTTTTGCCCATTAATCCACTGACATACTTTCAAGCATTTTCCCCATCCAGTTCAGGATCTAGTCCAGAACTGGGTACTATACTGTACATGTAGCCATCATGTCTTGTTAGCTTCCTTTAATCTCCATAGGATACTTCTGAGAAATATGAAGAAATCAATTTACCTTGGTAGAATATTCTTTTGGACAGCCCACATTGATGTCAATACTACCTACATTATTTTATCTGGAAAAACATGAAAAGAAAAAAGGCAATGATCATTCAAACTGAAAGAAGATGGTAGACTCAAAAGCACGCATGGGTCAGTACTCATGAACCTCTCACTGTGTCTCTGAGTCCATGAAACACACCACCCTCAATGATAGACCTCATCTGAACAGAGTTCCAGAGGAAAGACAAAATGTCTACATACTTTGTAAAAAAGCACCACGATCTCTTTAAAAAAAAAAAAAAAGCACTCAAGATTTCTAAAAAAGCACCTAGAAATGTCCAGAACAAGAGAAAAGAGTGATAGAGTCCTTACAACTCTAACATAAAGTTTAACTACCTGGGTGCAGTGGTGTACACCTGTAATAACCCCAGGGGCTCAGGAGGCTGAGAAAGAAAGATCACAACTTTGAAGCCAGCCTCAGCAACTTAGCGAAGCTCAAAGAAACTTAGTCTTTTTTTTTGAGACCCTGTCTCAAAATACAAAATAAAAAGGGCTGGGGATGTGCCTCAGGGATTGAGTACACTTGAGTTCAATCCCTGCTACCAAAAAACAAACACAAAAACAAATAAAAAATTAAGTAGTTTAACTACTATTAAGGAATCTAATTCCTTTGATAGGAATTAAATATAGTCTACACAAAATCAAACACTATAACATGAATAATCAATGCTATGGATGAAAAAAACAAATATAGAAGTCATGCCAAACAAAAAATCCCTTTAATTAAGTAAATTAAATCTGAGACTGGAGATATGTAACAGACTGTGACAGCTTGATTTCCATATCTGTCTCCAATACTGTAAGCACTCAGGAATGACCCTTTGAAAAATAGTCAAGTCTTCAGGAAGTCCCTGCTGTGCAAAGTAGCTCAGGCACTCAATAGTAACCAGCACAAGACCCAAGTAATGAAATCCAGGAGACAGGAAGACTTAGGAGGACCCTTGACATTAGGGTTTCCTACCATCTGGAAGACCACCCTGCTCTGTTCTCTTTCATAGGTGCAGAAGATGACTTGGTCATCAGGGGCCACAAAATCCACTGTTCTGAGCACCTCTGCAAGAAAACACAAACACATGGAATGCAAGTTCAGACTTGCCTAAGCCCTGGCAGTGAACACAGTCAAGTATAATCTTGAGATAAAAAGGAATCATAGATGTTTCCTACAAAATAATTATGCACTGAGAGGCATCTAAGGTGCTAATGATGGTCCATCTCACGACCCAGGTAATGGATGATTCACTATATAATTATTTGTTAAACTGCATGTTTGGGTTTTATGCACTTTTTCTGCGTGATTACTAGTACTTTATGATTTTTTTAAATACTGGAAAAAAGTACATACATTGAACTTTGTGTTTCAATATTGGTCCAAACTGTACCAAAAGATGGCCCTTTGAGGTACATACAGCGAGTGATCATTTCATTTTAAAAGAAATTTTTAATTTGTTCTAATTAGTTACACATGACATGCAAGTAATAATTTCTTAATTACTTAGAGCGTGTCAGGAAACTGGAGTGGAGGAATACCCTGTTTCAGTCAATCTTCACTATTATCTGAAGTTGCACATTCTTAAACGCATCTACTCAGTAAAATTGATTTATAACCCTAAATCAATACATGTGTTTTCAGTCACTCAGAGATCTATGCTAAATTACAACAAATTTGAGTATTCTGACATACACATCTCTTGTTGAGGTCAAAAAAGGTGCCACTCATCCCCTTGTTTGAGCTCTCATACTGTAAAATCATGTCCTTTTTATGGCATATTTAGTCCTTCTTTTTTGTATTTTTGTGCTTTCTGTTAGAGATCTCACTGTTTAAAATGGCTCTGCTTGGAGCCATAGTACTGAAGTTCTATCTAGTGCTCTTAAGCACAAGAAGGGTGTGATGAACCTAAAGGACAAAACATTTTTGTTCGATAAACATTGGGTAGGCATGACAATATAGTGTCATTGGCTCTTGAGTTCAAATTAACGAATTAATGATATATTTGCTAGAGCTGCCAGTATAGCGACACAGTCAATCTCATGCTTAGTATACAAAAGGCACTGGGTTTGTTCCCTAGTGCCTAAATAAATAAATAACATGTCTTTGAACAGAAACACACGTAAAATAAGTTTAGGTGCTGATCAGATAATGAAAATATGACAACAGGCTAGCAAAAACCTAATCCTGTATTTCCCCTAGGGTCATTTGGTTCAGTAGTCATGAACTGATTTTAGTGTTTTCAGCAACTTAATAGAATATTAACAACTTAATAGAACATAACTTGCCTGTCATGTCATTACTTTCCTTCTTAATGAAGCTACTACCATGATTAACTTTTGAAGATGACTACTCTAATAAAAAGATAATACATGGGGCTGGGGATGTGGCTCAAGCGGTATAGCACACTCGCCTGGCATGTATGCGGCCCGGGTTCGAGCCTCAGCACAACATCAAAGATGTTGTGACCACCGGTCTCAACACTGGCAGGAAGAAGTGTAAGAGAACCACAAAAACTTGGATGTGCTTAAAATGACATTTATCGATAACAGAAAAAATACTGAAACCCCAATAAAGGCACTAGAGAAAGCAATTCTAATGTATGCAATATGCAAAACTGTCCAAATAGAAAAGTAAGTGGCAAAGCAGTATGTGTGACAGGATCCCATGGAAAGGGGCCATAGATATAAACAAGTCATATTTATGTATATTACAGTATTCATAGCATACATGTAGGAAAACCCACATTATTCCCCTTTATGCTTAATTCTTTTGTTGCTGTGGTGGTACATGGGAATGACCCCAAAATCTCATGAATGCTGGGGAAGTTTCTACCACTGAGCTACATGCAAAACCCTATAATTAACCTTTCTTTTTGGTACTGGAGATTCAAACTAGGGGGTAATTTTCCAATGAGCTACATCCTAGGCCTCTTTATTTTTAATTTTGAGACAAGTCTTGCTAAGTTGCTGAGGGTAGCCTCCTGCCTCAGCCTCCTGAGTCACTGGGATTACAGAGATGTGCCACTGTTACCCATCTTGATTAATTCTTTAAGTATGAGATTATGGAGGATTTTCATTTTCTAGGTTTTATGGATTCATAATATTGAATTTTTCATAATATATAAAAATGTAAATAAAAGAGAATTTGACAAAATCGAGTCATGACTTTTTGTGAAATATCAAGATTTTATATACATATATATATATATATATATGCATATGTACATACATATGTATCAGAAACCTCAAAGATTACCACAACTCTAAGCAAAGCAAAATCAGCCTCATCAATAAACTAGAAGAAAAACCTCAGTTCACCATAAGCAGTTCCATTTGCACAGGGCTTAAGGTGTACAAACTACTTACTGTTCCTTATCTTATTTCGTCTTCACTTTAACTGTACAATTTAAGTAAATTAAGGCTCATAATTTTCATTTGACTGATAAGAAATTGTGATGGAAAGAAGTCACATAACTTGCTCAAGTCACAGCCAGGCCAAGCACTGAAGCCATCCTGACTCCAAGGATCCTAGGGTCCCTTCCATATCTGAAACATGGTCATTTCTTTTTAATATATTTTTAGTTGTAGATGGACACAAAATCTTTATTTATTTATTTTTATGTGGTGCTGAGGATCAAACCCAGTGCCTCACATATGCACGGCAAGTGCTCTACTACTGAGCCACAACCCCAGCCCCAAGACATGGTCATTTCTATGTCACCAAGACATTCTTAGCCTGCTTAATTTCAGGCTTTAGATGGAGAGTAATGACTGCTCTCAAGGGAACACATGATCCACACAATTACATTATGCAGCCAGGCACGAACCTGGGCAGGGGTAGTAGTAGTATCCCTTGAGCCTAATGGGCATACACTACTTGAACCTCCTGGGCCAGGGCTGGACTCACCCTGTCTCAAAATAAAAAAATAAAAAGTACTAGGGATATAGCACAGTGGTAGAGCATCCCTTAGTTCAATCCCTACTACCACACACAAAAAAATAGAAAGATTAATAATGACACTTCCAGATAAATAATGATATCATTAGGATGGCTACTATTTTAAAAAGAAAATCATAATGTGTTTTTGAGGATGTGGAGAAACTGAAATCCTTGTGCATTGTTGATGGGAATGTTACAAAAGGGTGCAGTCATTATGGAAAATGATAAAGACATTCCTCCAAATATTAAAAAAATAACTACCATACAATACCACAATTGCACTCCTGGGTACAAATTTAAAAGAATTGAAAGCAGAGTCTCCAAGAATCCTTGTACAAGCTTGTTCATGGCTGCCCTATTCACAAATCACAAGAGGCAGAAGCAACCCAAATGTCTATCGATGAGAAAGTGGATAAACAAATGTGGCAGACACATATAATGAAATATTATTCAGCCATAAAAGAAGAAAATCCTGTCACAGTCTATAACATGAATGATCTTTTAGGACATTATGCTAATTAAAATAAACCCATCAATGTTGGGCCTGGTGGCATATACCTGTAATCACTGCCAACATAGGAGCCTGATGCAGGAGGATCACAGATTCAAGGCCAGCCTCAGCAACTTAATGAAACCCTAAGCAACTTAGTGAGACCCTGTCTCAAAATTAAAAAAATAAAAATTAAGGGGTTGGAATATAGCTTAGTGGTGAAGCACTCCTGGATTCAATCTCCAGTAGCTACAAATTAAAACAAAATAAGCCCATCAAACACTTACAGAACATTCATCCAAATAGTTTACTTTCTAAACAGAAAGGTGGTGACCAGCAGCTAGGAAGAGGAGAAGAGGAAGGTGCTGTTTAATGGGTATAGAGTTTCAATTTTGCAAATGAAAAAGTTCTGGTGATTTATTTCACAACAATGTGAATATACTAATACTACTGTTCACTTAAAAATGGTTAAAATTTATACATTTTATGTGTTTTTCCTCAATAAGAAAAAAAAATTTTAAATCTTCAGTGCTAGGATTGAATCCAGGGCCTCATACACATGCTAGATCTAGTTGTCCTTCCACTGAGCAATACTCCCAGCACAGAAAAATACTTTTTTCTTTTTTGCAATGCTGGGGATTAACCCAGGGCCTTCCAAATGATAACAAGCACTCTACCACAAGGGAGGAAAGTTTTTTTTTCTTTTTAATCACCCTGGTACATATTAAAAACACACTGCCTTCTCTCTTGATCCCACTTATTAAAAGGTTTAACACTAACTTCTGTCTTCTCAGTTCCTGCAACTGGAGTCCCATGTTACTATAAAAAGGAATAGAAATGCAACCTCTGGGGAATTCCTGGAAAATTTACAGTGCAGACCCTAGGGAAGAAGGACTACTGCTCTTTCAGCTTTTCTTTTTTAACAAGACTCATCTTCCAGGTGCTCAGGACTCTATGGGTTAAGGAAGTGCCTGCATGCCTGCTCTACCCCTAGGTTCTATACCAGGTAGGTGGACTAGTTAGTTAGCTAATCCCACACTTGAGTCTCTATCTGGTTCTCCCAGAAAGAACACACAAGCAGCAGATAGTTGGCCTGCAGAGCAACTTTTGGAACCACCAGGAGGCACCAGGCACCACATTATGCCATGACCAGGTCTTAAGACCCAGTTCCCAGCCAAATACCTAAGGTAAATAGGAGCCTAACTGCCTATCATCTTCTCTCCGTAGGAGTTAGGACTCCGTGGAAGAACTAGGTTATTTTTTGTTGTTGGTGGTGGTATTGTTTTTTGATACCAGAGATTGAACCCACAGACCCTTTACCACTGAGCCACATCTCCCACCCATTTTTTATATTTTATTTAGAGACAGGGTATCACTGAGTTGCTTAGGGGCTTGCTAAATTTCTGAGGCTGTCCTTGCACCCACAATCCTCCAATCTCAGCCTCCTGAGCTGCTAGGATTATAGGCATGCACCATAGCGCCTGGCAGGATTAGATCTTCTCTATTCAGAGACCCCTTGTTGGTTCAGAGGCTATTCCAACTCTCTCACAGTGAAGTACATAAAACAAAATTAATGTGTTTAAATTAGATTTCCTCAGCTCCAAACTTGAGTAGGACCCTGAAAATAAGAACTGGTCACATTGATTAGGAAAACCAACTTTGCCCAATTAGAAGGGCCACATATTAAAGTCATCACATAAATCCTGAGCTCTTAACTTCTAAAGGGCTTGAAAACAACCCTAAGAATTCTAAAGAATTGGCCACGAAGGATCTGGATCCTCACAACATAGTTCTGATTTCAGTGGCAGCTCTGCTTCTATTGCCCAGCTTCCCTTTCGTGACCCCCCACTGGCACAAACTGATGGTCCAGGGCTGTCAATGAAGCATAGCTGCCTATGGGCACGGCTATATGAGAGACACTGACCCTTCCTTCTCGTATTATACTGTCCATCACTCTCAGAGAAATCAAGTCCATTTTCTGGGGCTCACGAAAACTAAAGCCCAAGGTGGATGAATATGTTAATGTAGGCACTATTGCCTTTTTCTCAATTTTAACTACCTCTAGAACTTTGCCCCAGAAAATGCTTAGGCCTTTGTTATCCTGAACTAAGAAATCTCCCTTTTTGCCTCCCACCTAAAACCTCTGGAGAACATGTGCTCCATGCCTCCAACCCTCCCTCTCACATCATCTTGTCAGAGCCCTAGAAATCTCAGCCCCTGACCTGCTGCAAGTACCAGCATCCCAATCCCCACTAGGCAACTCACATCTCCTTCCCATAAGGCTGCAAGTTAGCACTACATAGCATGCATAGCTGCCAGGCAAATATTTAGGTTTTTAGACCCCACGTGAACAAAAACACAACTTCTTACATTAGTCAAATCCCTACAAACCAAACTCTTCCCTTTTTAAAAATTTTTAGTTGTATGGACACAATACCTTTATTTTATTTTTTTATGTGATGTTAAGAATTGAACCCAGGGCTGGGGATGTGGCTCACGCAGTAGCGCACTCACCTGGCATGTGTGCGGCCTGGATTCGATCCTCAGCACCACATACGAAAAAACAAGATGTTGTGTCCGCCGAAAACTAAAAAATAAATATTAAAAAATTCTCTCTCTCTCTCTCTCTCTCTTTAAAAAAAAAAAAAGTATTGAACCCTGTGCCCCATACATGAGAGGCAAGCATTCTACCACTGAGCCACAACCCCAGGCCCTCAAACCCTTCTTTCCACCCCCATTTCCAACAAAAGACTGCCTTCCTACAAGTCTCATTATACAAACCCTTGGCTTCCCTCCTATTTCATCACTTTCCCCCTCATCTCCTTGGCCCATCTCAGACAAGGGCAGGACCCACCACCTCATCAAGAATCCTTTGGGGAACTAGGGTTGTGGCTCAGTGGTAGAGTGCTCACCTAGCATGCATGAGGCACTGGGTTCAATCCTCAGCACCACATAAATGTAAAATAAAGATATTGTGTCCACCTAAAACTTAAGAATAAATATTTTTTAAAAAAGAATCCTATGGGCTGGGGATATAGCTCAGTTTATAGAGTGCTTGCCTTGCATGTATTGGGTTAAATCCCCAGCACCACACACACACACACACACACACACACACACACAAAAGACTCCTATGCCCTAAAATCAGACATGAAGACCAATGAAATCAATGGAATAGAAAACACACAGTTACCTCGTAGTAGTCAAAGGCACCATAATCATACCTTGGAGAAAAGATAGGCTCTTCAACAAACGGTGCCGAGAAAACTGGAAATCCAAATGTAGTGGAATGAAATTGAACCCCTATCTCTCACAGTGCACAAAAAATCAACTCAAAGTGGATCAAGTACCTAGGAATTAGACCAGAGACCCTGCACCTTCTAGAAGGAAAACTAGGCCCAATCCCACATCATGTTAGCTTAGGAAACGACTTCCTCAACAAGACCCCTGAAGTACAATCAAGAATCAACAGAAAGGATGGTATAAAACTAAAAAGTTTCACTGTAAAGGAAATAATCAAGAACATGAACAGAGAACCTTCAGAAAGGGTGAAAATCTTTACCACTCGTATCACAGATAGAGCATGAATCTCCAGATTATACAAAGAACTCAAAAAAACGTAACACCACAAAAACAAATAACCCAATCAGTACATGGGCAAAGGAACTGAACAGGCACTTCAGAAAAGAAGAAAAACAAATTGTCAAATATATGGAAATATATTCAACATGCCTAGCAAAATTGAGAAATGCAAATTAAAACTACAGAGAAATTACATCTCACTCCAGTCAGAATGGCAATTATAAAGAATACAAGTAACAATAAATGAAGGCAAGAATGTAGGGAGAAAGGTACTCACATATATTGTTGGTGGGACTACAAATTGGTGCAACCACCATAGAAAGCAGTATGGAGATTCCTTAGAAATCTTGGATGGAACCACCAATTGACCCAGTCATCCCACTCCTCAGTCTATACCTAAAGGACTTAAAATCAGCATACTAGGGGCTGGGGTTGTGGCTCTGTGATAGAGCACTTGCCTAGCATGTGTGAGGCACTTGGTAATAAAATAAATGGAGATAAATAAATAAACATCTTAAAAAATCAGCATACTGTAGTGACACAGCCACATCAATGTTTAAGCAGCTCAAATCACAAATAGCTAAGCTACTGAACCCACCTGGGTGTCCTTCGAAAATGTGGTATGTACACATAATGGAATATTACTCAACCATAAAGAATAATGAAATTATGGCATTTGCTGGTAAATGGATGGAACAGGAGAATATCATGCTAAGTGAAATAAGCCAATCCCAAAACACCAAAAGCCAAATGTTTTCTCACATATGTGGATGCTAACCAGCAACAGTGGAAGGCGGCAGAGGGGGTGGGGGGGAGAATATAAATCCATTGGATTAGACAAAGGGAAACAAAGGGAAGGCAGGGTGGGGGGGGATGGTAGAATTAATCAGACATAACTTTCCTAGCCTTGTATTGAATATAAGACCATGGTAACTCCACATCATATGCAACCACAAGAATAGGATCCTAATTAGAATAAGTTATACTCCATGTATGTATATTATACAAAAATACATTCTCCTGTTATCTATAACAAAAAAGAACAAATTTAACAACACAAAAAAATTTCTGTGTCCTAGGCTGAGGATATAGTTCAGTTCCAGAGTACCTGCCTAGCTATGCAAGGTCCTGGGTTTCACCCTCAGCACTGCCAAAAAATAACAATAAAAAATCCTGTCCCTGGTTTGGGATGTGACTCAAGTGGTAGCACGCTCGCCTGGCATGCGTGAGGCACTGGGTTTGATCCTCAGCACCTCATAAAAATAAAGATATTGTGTCCACCTAAAAAAAAAAACTAAAAAAGAAATATTAAAAAAAAATCCTGTCCCTGAGCTGGGGCTGTATCTCAGTGGTAGAGTGTTTGCCTTGCATGTGTGAGGCACTGGGTTCAATTCTCAGCATCACATAAAAATAAATAAACAAATAAAGATATTATTAAAAAATCCTGTCCCCTCCAGAAGAAAAAAAAAAAGAAATCGACTCCACTCAACCACTGGCCTTACCCATCACCTCTGGTACCCACCTCACTTCTAAATCCTTCCTTCTTTTTATTACTCAAACATGCAACTCTTATATAAATATCTCACTTTACTCTACTTCCTTCACCTCAAGCCATCTGCCTATACTTGTTCTACGCTTAACCTCTTAAATCCCTGAAGTAGTAGCCGGCAGTCCTTTTTCTGATTCCTTGTTTACTATTCATCCTTAAGTCTCTAACTCCTAACCTGTCCCCAGCCACCTCATTCTCATATATACCACCACCAGTCTTCGTGCAATTGGATCTCTCTGTACCATCTGACATTGTTTACAGACCTGAGTTTGGCCTTCTCTGACAGTAAACTCTTTTTAATTTGCCTATTTTCTCACATTTTTACTTCTCACATTGATTCCTGTTCCCAAACACTCCTACCCAGGACTTAGGGTGTTTCCCCAAGTCCACTCACAGTCCTTCCCTAATCTCTACACATTTTATCTTAGAGTAACTGTGGATTCACATGCAGCTGTAAGGATGTGAGAGAGATCCTAGACCTAAGAACCCTTTACCTAGTTTCCCCAATGGCAACATCTTAACAATAATACAAAATCACAATCAGGACACTAACCACTGACACTGACACAGAATGATCCCATCACTACAAAGATTCTTCCTATTGCCTTTTTTTAAATAAATATATATATATATATATATATTTTTAGTCATAGTTGGACACACTACCTTTATTTTATTTTATTTTTTTAAAGGAGAGAGAGAGAGTTTTAATATTTATTTATTTTTTTAGTTTTCGGCAGACACAACATCTTTGTATGTGGTGCTGAGGATTGAACCCGGGCTGCACGCATGCCAGGCGAGTGTGCTACCACTTGAGCCACATCCCCAGCCCCACACTACCTTTATTTTTATTTATTTTTATGTGGTGCTGAGGATCGAACACAGCACCTTGCATATGCTAGGCGAGCGCCCTACCGTTGAGGTTGTGGCTCAGCACACCCCCATTGCCTTTTATAGCCATAGTCATCCTACCCCCACTCCGAATGGCTGTTAAAGATGAAAGGATCTCAGATGGGGGTGTAGCTCAGCAATGGAGCACTAGCATGCACAGAACTTCGGGTGTCATCTCTAGCACAAAAAAAAAATCAGAAGTACCTAGACAGTCTCCTAAACTTTTCACTCATTAGGAAAACATATGAAGATTAAGAAAAGCTCTCCAGGGGTGACGCTGTGGCTCAGTGGTAGAGTGCTCAACTAGTACGTGTGAGGCACTGGGTTCAATTCTCAGCACCACATAAAACTAAATAAATAAAATAAAGATATTGTGTCCAACTAATCTACAACTAAAAAAAAAAATACTACAACTAAAAAATATTGAAAAGAAAAGCTCTCCAGGGCTGGAGATGTAGCTCAGTTGGTAAAGTATTTGCCTTGCATGCACAAGGCCCTGTGTTCAATCCCTAGTAAAAAAGAGAGAGAACCACTGCTCACATTCCTTCATCATCCAACATTAGCTACTCCTTTAATTCTATTTTTCCTGACAGATGTTTTTGAACCTGGGTCTGAAGCCCTACTTTTCTCCAGAGCAGTCTGCAAGTGTATCTACTGGCCTACCAGCTATCACCACCAGAAAATCCTATGGCAACCCAAAACCAACCTCATCCAGCTTCATTAGCCTGATTCTGGTCCTTTTCCTCTTCTTCCTAACCTCTGAGTCCATTTACTGATGTTCTGAATGTATGTTAGCTCCTACAGGGGCCACGGCACTTCCCCAACTTGATGCTCATCAACTCATCTCAGCAACCCTAACGCCTCTGTGCTGCCCAGGATGCTGGCCCTCAGCAGGGCCCACAGAACTCATCAGTGCCTGCCTGTTGCTCCCCTCCCACCTTCAACAAACACCTGTGTGGGGAGTTCTCATCCTGCCTCCCCCACTCCTGACCACTCCCACATCCAAATGAGGAGGCTGCACTTGTGGGAAAGCCCTCCCAGAAAACCAGGAGCACTTACCTCACAGTAAACAATGTCAGCTCCAAAATCCAGGGCCAGCAGCCGCATTGGGAGAGTGCCAACCCGAACCATAGGGGCTAAGATGAATTTGTTGTGGTAGCACAGAGAGACACTATTCACAATCATTCCTCCTCTGTTTCACCTGAAGAACAGGAAAATAAGGGTCAGAAATTCAAGTGGAAACAGTCCCTTCTCTTAGCAAGGACAGGTTTTCCTTTTTCCTTCCAACCCACAGTCATTTGCGTTACTTTTGTCTGATCTTATAAAATATGCATGTTCAGTCATTCATCGAACCACTATTCATTAAGTGCTTAATCTCTGCCAGGCACTCTCCTAGTCTCTTGGAATACATTAGAACACAAAATAGACAAAAATTCTTGCTCAGCAGAGTTTTCATGCTACTGGAGGAACACAGGCAAAAGTCACAAAGCATAACAAGTAAGCAAATAATTACAAGACAGATTCAGAAACTGGCTGGGCCCTGGAAGAGAAAGGAGCAGAGACCGGATTGCAAACATTGCTTTTCTTAAAGTGCAGCAAACTTATTTTTAGTTTTTTAGCTTGTTTCTTTGTTTTTGTTTTGACACAAGGTCTCATTATATGATCCAGACTGGTCTCCAACTCCTGACTCAAGTGATTCTCCTGCCTTAGCCTCCCAAGTACTAGGGACTGCAAGCACTTGCCACCAGTCTTGGCTGGGTTGCAAATTTATTTATTTATTTATTTGTTTGTTTGTTTGTTTATTTATTTATTTATTTGCTGAGGATTGTACCAGAAATACTTAATCACTGAGCTACACCCTCAGCCCCTTTCTATTTTTCATTTTGAGACAAAGTCTCACTAAGTTGTTTAGAGCATCATTTTTTTTAATTGGTTGTTCAAAACATTACAAAGCTCTTGACATATCATATTTCATACATTTGATTCAAGTGGGTTATGAACTCCCATTTTTACCCCGTATACAGATTGCAGAATCACATCGGTTACACATCCACGTTTTTACATATTGCCATACTAGTGACTGTTGTACTCTGCTATCTTTCCTATCCTCTACTATCCCCCCTCCCCTCCCCTCCCATCTTCTCTCTCTACCTGTTTAGGGCATCATTAGTTCACTGAGGCTGACTAAATTTGCGATACTCCTGCCTCAGCCTCCCAACCTGGTGGGATTGGGTTGCTATTTATTTATTTATTTATTTTAAATGTTGATGGACCTTTTTTACTCATTTATTTATATGTGGTGCTGAGGATAGAACCCAGTGCCTCACACATGCTAGGCAAGTGCTATTCCACTCAGCCACAACTCCAGCCCCTGGGTTGCTGTTTTAAATACAGAAATCAACACAAGTTCAATGAAAAGACAATTTTTTTTTTCTGGATGATGGAGGATGTTGGGGATTGAAATCTGGGCCTCACATATGCAAAGTACGTACTCTACCACTGAGTTACTGCCCCTAGCCCCAGAAGACAAGATTTAAACAAAGATTTGAGTTTGCTAAGTTGGTCTCTAATAGAAGAATACATAGCAAAGGCAACAGTCAGTGCTTCTCCTAAGGCAGGACCTTGTCTGATGTGTTGGAGGAATGGCAAGGAGGACAACATGACTGGACCACAGGAAAGAAAAGAGATAGTAACAGAAGTCAGATATGTGAAATAACAGCAGAAAGAAGATAAGAGTGAGTACGTGAGCCAGTAAAGGGTTGTAAATGGAGGAGTAGCATGAGCTGACATGGTCTTACCTATCATGCTGACTGCTGTGTTAACAGCAAACTGTAGGGGACAAGGATTATCATAGAAAGACCAGTAGAAGGCAATTCGGTAATCAATTTGAGAGATAACGGAAGTTCAGACCAAGGAGCTGCAGTAAAGGTGGTAAGAAGAGGTCACATTCTAGGAATACTCTGAAGAGCCAACAGGAACAAAAAAAAAATCAAAATCCTGTATTTAAGCGGTAACTACTGTTGATATTTAACTCTAAGATCTCCTTGGGGCTGGGATTGTGGCTCAGCGGCAGAATGCTCACCTAGCACGCGCGGGACCCAGGTTCGATCCTCAGCACCACATTAAAAAAAAAAAAAAAAAAAAACATTGTGTTGTGTCCATCTACACCTAAAAATATATATATATATATATATATATATATATATATATATATATATATATATTAAAAAAAAAAAGATCTCCTTGAAAAAGTCACAAAGTTTACCAAGTATGCTCTGCTCAGTTACTGATACTGTTCACACTTGCTTTGTACTCCTAGGCCTACTCTGCCTCACTACACTAACAAAAGACACCAATGACCTGAATGTATTTACTAGATATTTATCTGACCACATATTTTTCAATTATAGCAAGAGACATGGTGGAGCCCTACATCTTCCTTCTTCTCCCCCTCCTGGGCTTCCCTGACCCAGCACTCTTGGATCCCTCAACCTCTGTCCCCACCTGAAAACTCTCCTACACATATGAGGGTTTCTACTTAGTCTTAAGCCCTCTTCCATTCTTATTCCAATCATTAGCCCAGGTAAACTTATTTACTCACATGGCTTAAAATATCAGCTAACTGCTGGTAATCTGCAAAAGTGCCCCTTCTCTGCCTGAACTAGGAGAATAGGTCAGTGGTACAGGGCTTGCCTAGCATTTAGCATGAACAAGGCCTTGGGTTTCATCCTTAGCACAAAATAAATAAATAAATAAGTTTTACCCCAAACCAATAATTAGTTTATTAGGCAAAAAGATAAACCACAAAAGAACAGGAATTTTGTTCACAGTTCACTCTTTCAACAGTACCTGCCATATGTGTAGTCTTAAAAATATTTCTTTCTTTATTTTTTTCTTTTTGGGGGTTGGGGGGTACTAGGAATTGAAACTTGAACCCAGGGGCACTTAAGCACTGCCCCACATCCCAGCCCTTCTTATGTTTTACTTTGAAACAGGGTCTCCCTGAGTTGCTCAGGGCCTTGCAAAGTTGCTGAAGCTGGCTTTGAACTTGTGATCCTGCTGCCTCAGTCTTCACAGCTGCCAGGATTACATGAGCCATCACGCCTAGCAGAAAATATTTCTAAAATCAATACATAAATGAATGACTAAATCATTATTACCTGAGATCCATGAAACATACTAAGCTCCTGCTCCTGGGAATTCACTTTTTTTTTAATAAGCAAATCTTTCCTATTTCTGAAGTAACTATTTAAGCCATGTGTTTCAGTAACAATTAGAGGTTATGCAATATCTGCTGTGAACATCAGGAAGAGAGAGAGATTTTAGGCAGTGTCTGATGATAGAACAAGAAATTAGGGACAATGGGCTGAGACAGACCCTTAAAACCTCTAACCCCTATAAGATTTTGAGGTAATTATATTATAAAGGCTCTAGCATAATGAGAAAGCAGATGCATACCTAATCAGTTAACCCTTCCCTGAATAATTGAACACAATTTTAATGCATATATATACATATGTATTGTTCTTTTCTGATAATTATTTGTTCTGGTTTGGTGCAAGGGCACATGACAAAGGAGGAAACTTGTCAGGTCTGACATCCAAGGAGCTATTCAGATAAGAGCTCTATGTTTTTAGAAAGAATCATAAAAGTAGCATAGAAGGTAAACTGGAGGCAAACACCTATCATCCCAGCTACTTGGGAGACTGATAGAGGACTTCAAGTTCAAGGCCAGATGGCAATTTAGTTAGATACTGTTTTCAACCTGAAATTTAAAAAGAGCTGAGGATGTAGCTTAGTGATAGTACAGCACTTGCCTAGCATGTGTGAGTTTCTCAGTTCAAGGCTTCTCCATCAAAAGAAAAGTTCTTTTAATGTTCAATACAGACAAATTTTTTTTCTTTTCTTTTTCCTGTGTATATGTGTGTGTGCGTCTGTGTCTGTGTGTACTGCCAGAGGCTGAATCCAAGGACTCCTGCTATGCAAGAGTGCTACCAACTGAGATATCCCACTAGTCTCAGGCACATTTATCTCCAGCATATTTTCAATCCACACTTGTTTGAATCTACAGATATGCAACCTGAAGATAGGAAGGGCCAACAATAGTGGTGAAACTAAACCACATATTCCATATTCCACGTTAAGAACCTCCCATGTGGGCTGGAGTTGTAGCTCAGGGGTAGAGGCCCCGCCTGGCACAGGGAGACCCTGGGTTCAATCCTCAGCACCACATACAAAAATAAACAAGTGAAATAAAGGTGTTGTGTCCAACTACAACTAAAGAATAAATATTGGGGGGAAAAAAAAAAGAACCTCCCATGTAATCAATCCACAAACATTTACCCTACCCCCCACCCCAGAATGTCAGACTACAAAGATCTGGCCCCCATTTTCAAAACTTTTCAGGAAGTATGACTAGTGTAACTCTCTTTTATAACTTAAATATCTGATTTTAATTCAAATATTCTGACTGACCAGGCCTATGAAGCTGATGACTTCTGGATCTTTAATGCTATCTGAGGAATTACCATACCTGAGAGAGAAAGTGAGATGGCTGCTAGAGAGGGTGCGTTCAGGATGGGAAGCTGGGAATGGTGACAAGGAAGCAGAGAGTGAAATTTGGCTTTAAAAATGCTTTTTTTTTAATGTAAAGAAGAGATGTCACCACTTGAAAGCCTTATCACCTTTCCTCCCACTTCAGTGAAAAAATGAGTTGAAGGACACCACCTTCTACTGCGGGTTCTAAGCCAGAATGGAGCGGGAATTGAGCCTAGATTTATAATTCCACACCCTCGTGTCAGTCCCCAGGCCTGCCATTCATTCAGTCGCTGGGAAAACACGTATTACCAGTATTTCCGCAGGGTCCATATCTCTGGAAACTTCGCGGCATCTCTCACCTTCAGAATTTACAAGGGGAGCCTGGCACTGAACATTGTCCTCAGGGGCAATGAGGACGACAAACAAGATCTCAAGGGATGGGCACCCGATCTCCAGAAGACACCAGCACACCTGGTCCATAGGACCAGGGCCCCACTGACGCCAGGTATTGCTAGCCTATGCTCCAGCCTCCACCGCGCTCCCCACCCAAAGGCGGTCTAGGTCTGGATGTCGCCATCCCGGTGCTGATCTACAGACCTAGCAGTCACTGAAAGGTAGGGATCTTCCCCACTTTCTGACGCGTCTCCAGCTCCGTATCTTACTGAGCCGAGCCAGGCACCGTAGGCGAGGAAGCGGCGCATACGTGACGTCACTGACGTGCGCCTCTCCAAAAACAAGGGCAACATGGCTATCGCGCGCCCGACGTTGCTGTTGTCTCTCGCTGCTCGGTTGCTGCAGGCGCCCCGCCGGGATCTGTCGGCCCGCGGTCCGGATGAACCTCTGACAGTGGTGCGCATTCCGCGGGCTCTACAGCGGCGGCAGGAACAGCGACAGAGCGGGCGTCGGACTGCCCAGCGGCCGCTGTTAGTAAAACCCGGACCACTCCTCGTCTCGGCGCGGCGGCCTGAGTTAAACCAGCCAGCGCGCCTCACGCTGGGCCGTTGGGAATGCGCGGCGCTCGCCTCGCGTGGCTGGAGGCATCGGCGCGCGCATCGGGACTATTTCTCCATCGAGCGCGCACAACTGGAAGCGCCAGCGCTGCGGGGCCTGCGGTCCCACGGCAGCTTCGCGGACCTGGGTCTGGAGCCTGAGGTGCTGCGCGCACTGCACGATGCTGCTCCCGAAATCGTTCGGCCCACCACCGTGCAGTCACGCACCATACCCCCACTGCTTCACGGCCACCACCTCCTTTGCGCCGCAGAAACTGGCAGTGGCAAGACTCTGAGCTATCTACTTCCGCTGTTGCAAAGGCTTGTTGATCGTCCAGCTCTGGAAACCCACCGCGTACCTGCTCCTCGGGGTCTGGTCCTTGTGCCTTCCCGAGAATTAGCAGAACAGGTGCGGGCTGTGGCCCAATCACTAGGCCGCTCCTTGGGCCTGCGGGTACAAGAACTAGGAGGAGGTCATGGCATGAGTAGAATCAGGCTGCAGCTGTCCAAACAACCTTCAGCACATGTGCTAGTTGCCACTCCGGGGGCTCTATGGAAGGCCCTGAAGAGTCAACTGATCACCCTGGAGCAACTCTCCTTCATGGTGTTGGATGAAGCAGACACACTGCTGGATGAAAGTTTCCAGGACCTGGTGGACTACATCTTGGAAAAGAGCCATATAGCCCAAGGCCCAGCTGATTTACAAGACCCTTTCAATCCCAAAGCTCAATTAGTGCTCGTGGGAGCCACATTTCCTGAAGGTGTGAGCCAGTTGCTGAGTAAAGTTGGGAGCCCATACTCTCTCACCACCATCACCAGTTCCAAGCTCCACTGCATTATGCCTCATGTCAGACAAACATTTATGAGGCTGAAGGGAACAGACAAGGTGACAGAGTTGGTACAGATCCTCAAGCAGCGTGACAAAACAGATAAGACTGGATGCTCAGGAACAGTCCTGGTGTTCTGTAACAGTTCCAGCACTGTGAACTGGCTGGGATATATTCTGGATGACCACAAGATCAAACACCTAAGGCTTCAGGGGCAAATGCCAGCCTCAATGAGGGCAGGTATCTTCCAGTGCTTCCAGAAGGGCTCCCAAGACATACTGCTCTGCACAGACATTGCTTCTCGTGGCCTAGACAGCACCCATGTGGAACTGGTTGTCAATTATGATTTTCCCCTCACCCTGCAAGATTACATCCACAGAGCAGGAAGGGTAGGCCGTGTTGGGAGCGAGGTGCCAGGCTCAGTCATCAGCTTTGTGACCCATCCATGGGATGTGAGCCTGGTTCAGAAGATTGAACTGGCAGCTCGTAGAAGGAGAACCCTTCCAGGACTGGCATCCTCAGTGAGAGAGCCTTTGCCTCAGCAAGCTTGATTTTGGCTAACTAAAATGGGATTCTAGATTAGGGATCTTTCCTGGTGTCCTGGGTGGATGAACACACTTGTCACTTAGGCTGACCTTAATGCCCCTCAGGCCTGGTGAGCTGTTTGCAGCTTTGAAAGATGAACTACGGGCCAGCAATGGAGTAATGGACCATAGTAACGTAGTCTTTCATATAAAATATGAAGAATAAAATGCATTTTAGTTTTTGTGATGTCATGATTTCTAGCAATAAATGATGCTTTTATGGGCCGCCTTAACAAAAATTATTTTGGGGGCAGACTTCATTGTGTTCTGATAATTCATATGCCTAACTGCCACATGTAGGACAAAGAATCTGTTGAGTTTATTTTCTTTCTTTGCAATGCTTTGGAGAGCAACCTTTCTACCGCTGAGCTACATCCCCAGCCTTATTGTTTCTTTTTTTTTTTTTTTTCCTAGTACTTGGTTTCACTTTGGGCTATATCCCAACTATCCTCCCTTTTTTTAATGCTTATTTGTGGTATTTGAGATTGAACCCAGGGGTGCTTTACCACTGAGCTACATCCTCAGCCATTGTTATTTTTATTTTGAAACAGGGCCTTGCTACATTGCTGAGAATAGCTTAAAAATTATTGGCCTCCTGAGTCCTGGGACTACAGACCTGCATGACCACACATGGTTTCTTTCTTTCTTTTTTTTTTTTTTAAGAGAGAATTTTTGTTAATATTTATTTTCTAGTTTTCGACGGACACAACATCTTTGTTTGTATGTGGTGCTGAGGATCAAACCCGGGCCACACGCATACCAGGCGAGCGCGCTACCGCTTGAGCCACATCCCCAGCCCCATACATGGTTTCTTTGCCTTTTTTTGAAGAAAGGAGTATGAAAGAATAATGTGGTAATTTTGTATTATGTCATTTTGTCTTAAACATGTTTCAAATTTTATGCTGAAATAGGCCTGTCATTCCTATTTCAAAAAGTCACCGGAGAAACTTGTTTTGCCTTGGAGCACCTTTAATACCCTTCCCAGTGTCCATCTTCTTGAAATGTCACAGGTTTGTCTTACCAGTTATAAATCTGGACCTCCAACATGAAACTCTACTATTTAGTAAAACACCACTGCGGACTTAGGTTAGGTCCTTAGGCTCCTTTTCAGAACGCATTTGTGAAAAGGTGAGGGTGCAAAGAATTTTTTTCTTTTTTTATGGTGCCTGGGATCAAACCCAGGGATTCATGTATGTTAGGTGAACACTTATCATTGAGCCACATCTCCAATCCATCAAAGGATTTATCTTTGGGGCAGAATGAGGTCAAGAAGGGCTTCTTTGTTTTATTCCCAATTGGAATGTTTTTCCACTTGTATAACTCATTAAATTCAGGCCTACTTCCAGGAAGCATTCTCTGACCCCCTAATCCACTCAAATCTCTGCTTCTCCCAACAGGTAAATACTTAGCGTCAGGGACATGCAACCTAGCTCTCTGTGTTTAATGATAACTGTCTGACCAGTCTCAGAATTTGTGTTTCTCAGAATCTTGCTCCCTGTGGTCATGGGTTGTACCCAACCCCCAGTTGTGCTCCACAGACAGTGGCTATTTGATTAGGATATGGGGGAAGGCCAAAAGGGAGGGTCCAGACAGAGCTCTCTTCTTTTTGCCTTGCTTTCCATAAAATACCAAGGGTCTGAAGCCTACACTCAAGACACACATTCCTTCCATGGCCACCCGGAGTAGTGATGACATCACAGCCTCAGTTTCCATGGCAGGATAACAATAGAAAACTTCCCTACAAGTTCTCTACAGGACACCAGAGTATCTGGTTGCTCCAGACAATGTGTCTGATCGGATATTCTATATTCAGTCTAACTTGTCTGCTGTCCCCTCGGAGAGCAGAGCAGCAGGTAGGCCTAGGCCAGGCACCTATAATGGAGCCCCTGGTAAATATACAACCTCACTTGACTGCCACATCTTCCTTTAGGGTTTTCCCATCACACCTCAGAACTTCACTACCCATGAGTAAGACCAATGGTCTGGTGCTTCCTCAAGGACCCACAGTGTTTTTGCTCACTGCTGAGGGCAAGTGTTCAGATAGGTGCTAATCTTTATCAATCTAGCCTTCCCCTTTAGCCTCCCCACCCCCAGTGCTTCCTTCAGAGCACAGCACACTGGTACACACCTATAGTCCCAGCTGCTTGGGTGGCTGAGTGGGAAGATCACCTGAGCCCAGGAGTTGGACTCAAGAATCTGGGTGGGGGACATAGTAAAACCTGGATAACATGGTTAGACACCGATCAACAAAAGGCTTTCTCCAGACCTTCCTTTATAAGAGTCTTACAGAAACCTAGTGTGCTTTTGTTATCAAATGCTAACTAGAGCAATTGAAGCAAGAGCTATCAGCCTCTCATGAACCTCATCTTCAGACCCAGGCACCTTTACCATACTGTCAGGGATACACCCACAATGGTCCCCTCACACATCCCAGTTTTATCTCCTGAGGAAAAGAGTAGTGTCATGCAGCTGGGAAGAACATAAGGGCCTCTGGGAGAGGTGAAGTGTTACTGAGACTGGAGGTCTGAGGAAATGGTGTCTCAGGAAGTAGATGTGAGAAGGCTATTTGGGCCGAAACTTGGTACCCAGAATTTGGATCTCAATCTTTTGATCCTCTGCCCCAGGATATAGCCTGTGGAAAGTTGTAGAGTTGGGCATTGTGTTGTACAGCTATAATCTCAGCTACTCAAGAGGCTGAGACAGGAAGATTGCTTAAGCTCAAGACCAGGGCAGTTTGAAGAAATAGCAAAATATATCTCAAAAGAAAAAAAAATGCATTGGAAAAAATCTATAAAAACTGGGCTAGATTTCAATATTATTGAACATACTGTATAAATGGGTCTCAACAGGAAATGTCAAGGTGGGGAGTCTAAACCTATGTATTTATTCATTTTAAGTATTTTTATAGGTATAGATGACCACAGTACCTTTATTTTTATTTATTTATTTTTGTGTGGTGCTGAGGATCAAACCCAGTGCCTCATGCATGCTAGGCAAGCACTCTACCATTGAGCTACAACCCCAGCCCCTAAACCAATTTATATTAGACCATTTTTTCCAAACCTTGAAAATTATTTCTATTAAAGCCTCAGGAAAGATAGATTTTAAGAATTTTTTTTTTTCAGTTATAGAAGGGAGAGACTGAGGGACAGCTTTTTGGGATATTTTGAGGTTTGACTGTTTTCCTGCTGCTTCCATTGGCTCCACAGAACTCAAGTACTTTGACAGCATCCCTTGAGGAGATAGGCAAAGCATCCATAGAGGTCACAGGCAAAGGCTATGTTCGAATGCCAAGCAGAGAAGAGGGCTTCAGTCAGAAACAGGAAGCATCAGGAGAGCGAGGTCCTGGTGGCAGACTGTACAAAGCAGAAGCAATTAATCAGTTCTGGTTTTCTTTCCAGCAGCAGTGCCTCTCATGTCTCCTTCTACACCTGCATACCACCATGTCCTCTACCAAGGATGTGGAGAAATACAGGTGGGCTGGCATGGGGAGACATACTGCCTGGTTGGTGGCTACCAGCTCTATGGAGATGCTCCCTTGGCCACTCCACCAAAGGCCAAAGCAGAAAAGCCAGCAGAGAAGCCAGCCCAGAAGCCAAACCAGAGAGGCAGAGGGGCTCCCAAGAAATACCATGCTCCAGCAGAGGCAGAAAAGACCCTGGGCTGCCCCAGGCCCCAAATTCTTGCCGAGAAACCACTGTCACAGAAGCTGGCTGGCTGAGCTTTCCTGTAGAGAGGACATTTATTTACCTAGGACATCTAAGGAATCATCTTTTTTTAAATTCTAATTCCTGTATTTTTTTTTTAATTTTTAAAAATTATTTATTTTTTAGTTATAGTTGGACACAACACCTTTATTTTAATGTGGTGCTAAGGATCGAACCCAGGGCCTCGCACATGCTAGGCGAGCACTTTACCACTGAGCCAAACCCTATCCCTAATTCCTATATTTCTTAAAGAAATAAAAAAAAATTATTGTTGCTGTTGTGTTAAATATAAAGTTATTCATATATACAAAAATTTGAGAGAAGCCCTGGAGATGATTGCAAATGATTTTCAATGGTGCTGCAGATAGGGCCTTGGTTTAGCTTATCATAAGGAATTACTGAAGCTTATGCTGGTATCTTCAGTGATTGGCAGAGAGTAGATCTGTATTTAAAAGCCATCCTTTATACTCCTTCTTCTCATAGGCTTTCACTCTGACTTATTTGTAACCATATTCTTCCCAGTCTAAGGGGCTTTTCTTCATCCATTCTCTCATGGCTGCCAGTTGGTTAATACTATGTGATGCTTAATATTTAATCCTCAAAAAGGAGGGAAATACCAGGTAGAATACCTCCTGGCCCCTGTATGCACGTCTTGAGGACTCTGGACAGAACAGAGCATGCTGCAGCTTGGCAGGCCTAAGGCCAGTATCTAGAATTCCTTTTGTCACAATATTGTTATTCAAATCTATTTTTCCCTTATAAAGATTAACTATATCAATATGAAATTGTATGAGTAATACAAATTAGGTAGTCTTCACTTCGGCTAATGCATCTTCTGAAGTGATCTCCACTGCCCTCACTGGAGACAGTACCTCAGTCAATCTGCATGAGCCTTTCACAGCCAGGGGTCCCCTTCCATGTCAACTGGCCACAGGCAAGAAACCTCAGAAAAGGGGGTTTGAAGGGATAGGCTCCTTTGAACAAGGCTTAAGCTGGCCTTGAAGAAGACCTGCCATTCCTCTGCTCAATCCTCTGAAGTCTCTCCTTGGGCAGAAGAACACTCAGCACTCTCCAAGGGGAGGAGTCAAGTGTAGAGAGAGAGAAGGACATAGTGGCCCACTGGTGCCCTATCCACCAAATAGGTCCAGCCCTGACTTATTGCCAGAAACATCAGCACAAACCATCAGGTAGGCTTCCTGAAACTAGAAGCAGTATTTACCCAGGGAGCCTCCTGCCTGTGCTCTCAGCAGGCACAGTAGCTACCTGGAACAGGAAGGGTTGGGGAAAGGCAGTAGCGCCACCCTGAGCCTCACATGCTCCTTTATTCCCAACCCATTATGGCCACAAGACACCCCCCTACTCCTCAATAATTTTTTTTTGTAACAGTGTTTGACTTGAAATTCAGCTTGTTGAAGGTCAAGCTTCAAACCATAATATCCCCTTTAAGTACATTCCTACATGGAGAACTTGGTCTT